ACTAGAAAACTGTCGAAAATTTCCAATATTGCCACAAAAACTGTTCAACGTGACGTGAAGGTCGTCCAGAAATTACACAAAAATGAACCCAGATGTGTTCTTCCTCCTAAATGTCATGTGTCTATCTGCTGCACTGATGAAGTTCTGAGGCTCAGAAATGATGGAAAAAGTCCATTAAAGTGATCAATCTGGACCCTCCTCTGTGGACTTCAAGGACCTGGACCTCTGGAACATTCACAGTCTGAAGGTAGAACTCTGGTCAGTAGATGAAGGTTCTGGAGATACAGAACCAGATGTTCTGAGGAGGAACGTTTTTATATGGAATAATCCACATATTCACCAAATAATACGACAAGACTGCAGGATGAACGTCTGTTTGAAGTGTTCTACAGATGTGTGAATGTTCAGTTTCACCAAGTAAACTCTCGTTTTTTTAACCTAAACGAGCTGATAAATGACTTTGTGTGAAGTTGTGACTTACAGCAGAATCCATGGAGTCGCTTCAGGGCAGGAGAAGGTCCAACTGGGCCTCTTCTGCCAAGTTAATGCAGAAAAAAACAGAAAGTGTTAATAGAAGAGGCTGTTTAATAAGCTGCTCCGTATAATTACGTCCTCATCTGCAGTTTTTACTGCTAAATGATTTGAGCAGGAATAAGAGGCGGGAACATTAAAGCCTCGTAACGCTTCTCAATTACTACAATCTGAGCTAATGGCTGCAGGATGACCATTAGGGCTCCTGTCTGTCGCTGCTCGACACCGGTTCCTGGGCTCGCAGGACATTACGCCTCCGACGGGCCCATTGACACTAATAGGGGTCAGAGCAATAACAGCGAATGGACAAATTGCACTGTCAATGCTTTTTAAATTATCTCGCTTCTTCAGTTTGACCCGCGGACGGTCGGACTGCGGCGCCGCAGACACACGCGGATGTGAGGGTTTCAGTGGGAGGTCTCCACTGGCCGCTGCTCTCTTAATAGAACCCGCCTGTTTTCTCCCATTTGAGCCGCGCTGGAATCAATCATGTTGGAGGATTAAATGATCCCTGCCACAATCGGCTACTATCATAAACCGGCACCGTGACCCCCGACGCCGAGGAGTGTTAGTGTGTCAAAGCGGCGGCGGCGGCGTGCACGGCGGCTAGTGTGTGTGTGCGTGTGCGTGCACGTTCGCAGGGAGTCGACCCAACGCCTTTATTTGCTTTCCCCCTGCGATTCAGTCGAGCGGGTATTAACCACCGGCCATGAAGAGACGAATTAAAAGCCGTTAAGCGGGAACGATTCCGTCTGAATCACCTGCAGCTGAGTGATGCTCGCTGAAGCGGAGGAAAGAAAAGTTAAGCAGGAGAAACACAGGAGACGGCACTGCAGCAACATGAGTCCGGCAACATGAGTCCGGCAACACGAGTCCGGCAACACCGGTCCGGCAACATGAGTCCAGCAACACCAGTCCGGCAACATGAGTCCAGCAACATCGGTCCGGCAACACGAACGCACACATGGGACACAGCAGATCGCTGCTGGGTATTTCATTTATCTGCTGGCTTCCTGGTGCGATTGATCGAATAATCAATTAGCTCTCAATTATTTAAGTAACTGCCATTTTTTAAATTATTCAATGGAGCAATTATCTGAAGAAAATCCTCTGATTGCAGCTTCCTAAATGTGAATATTTTCTCTTTTTCCTAAATAAGGACAAGAGCTTCTTTCACTGCTTTCTGACATTTTATTAATTGATTAATTGATTAATCAACAAGAGAAATGATCCCTATCTTCAGGCCAAACATGGAGAACGTCTTCAGTGTGAATATTTTCTGCTCTTTTCTGTTTTCTTTGGACAAAACAAAACATTTAAACCGTTTTCTGATATTTTATAGAACTAACTGTGATTAATCATGTTTACATCTCTTTCTCTATTTAGTACAATTCATTTAATATAAATTCTTTCATTGCAGCTTCTTAAATGTGAACAGATTTTGGTTTCTTTGCTGCTCTGCGACAGTAAACTGATTATCTTTGGGTTGTGAACAAAATAAAATGTTATCTCAGATGTTTTTTTCACTATTTTCTGACATTATATAGAACTAAATACGATCAGTAGATTAATCAATGGAAGTAACTGTCAATGGCATGTTTATATCTCTTCCTCTGTAAGTCTTATAAAGTCAATTCTCTGAGTCCTTAAATGTGAATTTGAACTTTTTCCCTTCCTCTGTGACAGTAAGCTGATCATCTTTGGGTTGTGAACAAAACATTTGAGGATGTTATTTTGGGCTTTAAGAAACACTGACTGACATTTTAGAGGCCAAACATCTGATCAGTTATTGGAGGAAATAATCAAAAAGATTAACCAACTGTGAAAATAATCGTTAGTTGCAGCCCGTAGCGTCAAAGCATTTATGACATCTGGTCATGTCAGAGGTTGTTAAAGGATCTGAATTGTATGTAAATAAAAAATAAAGTCTTCTACAAAGTGTGAAAGTTCAAAGTTTGGGCTCATAAATGACAAAAAACGTCAGAGAACAATCACACAGGAGGGAGGAAATCAGTAGTTTTAGCTGCTTTATCTGGTTTAATATACAGAGCTAACGTCTGACTTATGCTAAGTGGTTTGAAAGAAACTCGGATTTGTTTTGGAGCCGACTTTAATAATAATAATCCATTTTTTAAATGTCATTTTTGTCAGTTTATCGCCACAGTTTTGCACTTGTTAACTTTTGCTTCCATTTCGTGCTTTGCTGCATCACACAATCACACACAGTCTGTCTGAGTCATTATTAAAATACACGAAAGGGTAATTTATCATTTAGATTAATTAATTAATCTCTAAAATATTCTACAAATTAATTGATAGTCATTAGCGTTAGCCCTGCAGCACCTTATCCAGCTTCTAATTGGTTAATTGCTGATATTTTTTAGCTAATAAACCCAGTTTTAAGGCTTAACTTTTGAGCTACCTTTGTGAAATTATCTGGCATAGAGTAGTCGAACACTAGAGAAAGTCTGAAACATCCTAAATCGCAGAATTAAACTTGAGCTAAAGCTAAAGCTAGCAGCAGTCTGCGCCTCCATCACATTAGCATACATTCACCTCACTTTAGCTTGTTTTTCTACAAGTAAATGAACCAGAAACGTCTGGAAAACAACAAGTAAGATTTTTTAAAAAACGGCACTTACTGTTGTTGTGAAAGTTTTTCCAAGTTCCCTGAAAGAGCACGAAGAGCAACAAACAAGCTGAACGTTAGCTTCGAGCGCTAATATCGAGCTAGCAGCTGTGCTAACGCTAATATCTAGCTAGCAGCTAACTAGACTCTGATGTGCTGAAACAAGTTAATAAATTAGTTTGTCCATTAATGTTAAAACGTGTTTGTAAAGGTGTTAATTTCGTTGTGAATTAACGTTTGTGGCGATTTAAGTGAATTTGTCTGTAAAATTGTAGTTTGTTGTTGGCTTCAGTGAGCAGCTACGCTAACAAGATGGCGTCCGCTCACAACGTAGCTGTAGCTGCTTCTTCTTCTTCTTCTTCTTCTTCTTCTTCTTCTTCTTTTAATGGTGTAACAGCAGCTCCAACCTGCTCCTTGTATTAATACTTTAACTACATTTTGCTGCTATTTACTTTTATTTAACACTTTGGTGGGAATTTAAATAAATTTAACCATAAAGACAAAATTTTACTTGTCAAAAAAAAAAAAAAAAAGCCATAAATTATTTTTTATTTTTTTAAATATTATTTTCCACATCTGCTGAATTAGATTTTCTTTTTTTCAGCCGACATCAGTTCTGATCATAAATACAAAACCTCCACTATTTAGAGCACATTCACTGTGTGTTTACTTGTTGTTGTTTCTTATAGGGAGAAACAAAAGCATTAATATATTAACTGATATTTTTTAAAGTGACAACCTAATTGGATGCATCATTATTTTTTGAGCAGTGTCGAGGGCCTAATATTTAAATTGATCAGGTAACCTAACATGATAAATAACACACCTCGATATTTAAACTTGTTAGATTAACGCCGGTTTAATTTTCTGCTGTTGTTTTATTTGTGCAAATTAACTGAATTAAGCTGTGAAAATAATATAAGACTGCAGCTCTAATTCGGTAAAGACAGAAACATTAACATTTTAACAATATACACAGATGTGAATAAAATGACAGCATTAGATTTTTAAAAAGAGATTAAAAAGCAGTATTGGATGTTTTTCTTTTAAATTTTACTGCATGCAGACACAAATAGGAAGAAAATAAAGCAGGAGAAGAAGCTAATGAAGCTCAAATCTGTTTGATTCAGCTCAATTATTCGCACTGCATGTTTTTTAATTTACACTTTTTTTTTTCTTCTCATTTGTAGAAGTTCTCAGTGCTTTTGGATGAATTTAAATTCATTCTGGACATTTTTTGAGACCAATTTTACGTATTTTGTCTGACTTTGAACACATGCTGTGTCATTTTGGACACTTTTTTTGATGGATTTGTGTTTCTGAGGACATTTTTAGAAATTCTCAGTGTGTTTGGATGCGTTTAAAGTCATTTTGAACATTTAGTTTGAGTCATTTTGAACCGCTTCTTCATATTTTCACCGTTTTTTTTTTCTCACCGTCTGACATTAAATCAGACTAAACGTTTCCGGTTTTAGTTCAGTCAGGATCACCAAAATTATTTCTATTTGCTAAATATCAGAATGATGAGAGAGAATTTTTTAGAGATCTTTTTTGCTGCAGCTCCTCCAACGAGGCCTCTCTGATGTTTCCCGGAGCACCTGAACGCACCACTGACTCAGAGGATCAAAACAGTTGATTTGTAATTGATTCCCGCCTATCATCTGTGTGTGTGGAGGCAGGTGAACCAACAGGAAGTCCAGGTGAGCTCCAGCTCCGTGTTTCTGACCGTTTGCTGCCATCTAGCGGTGGAGCGTTAAAGCTGCAGCCTGTTTCAGACGCGTCTCCTCTGTGCGTCCTGTCGTCTGTCCGTCCACAGACCTGCTCCCTGCGGCCCAGGTCCATGTCCTCCATCAGGGAACGAGCCGCAGCGCTGCAGCTCGCGGAGAAGCTGCGCGCGCGGCCTCCAGGTGAGTGACGTGCAGGTGAGGAGAGTCTGCTGCTGCCGAGGCCCGGACTCGTTTCATTCCGTCTAAGCTGTAAAGTAAAAGCGCCGAAACACGTGCTAAAGTTGCAGCGATGGATTTAGAAACGATGAGTCACCTGAGCTGCTCCAACCTGTGGAGGAGTCTCCAACATGGAGTCAGGAGGCACGCCGAGCAGGAGGCACAGTCGTTTACCTGCAGCCTGGTTTTACACCAATTTAAGGTGGAAATCTTTTTATTTGTGCTTTTTTTTTTCATCTCCCCTGAAATAAGGATGATTGAGTTTAATCCGTCGGGTTTAAGCCCCTGTGGAGTTATTTATGGTATGAATTGACCTGAGAAATGTAAACATTAAGGATTAAAAGCAGATAAATCTGATCTGAAATGCTGCTTGTTGTAATTCAACCACGACTGGAGACCAAACAGTTTAAAGCTTTCCTCAGCACAGATTCCTGATTTTAACCAAATAAAAGCAGAAGTGGTTCGTTTTAAACTGTTCTGAGCAGATTTTTGACATATTCTGATTCAGTTTGGACATTTTTCTGCACCGTGTTGGATTAATGCTGTAAACACTGTGCAGCTCATTTTTAAATATTCGTCTAGTTTAAGTACTTGTGGAAATATGTCTGTTTGGATTGTTCTTGAGTTTGGACCAGTGGTGGATGACTTTTAACTCATTCTGGGCCTTTCTGAGTCATTTCGGACACGTTTTCTGACGTGTTGGCAGTTTCTGAGAAATTCTCTGCGTTTGGATGCGTTTAAAGTCATGTTGGATGTTTAGTTGAGTTATTTCTGAAAGTTCTTTTCGTATCATCTTGTGTTTCCACAAACCAGAAGTTTACACCCACTGGATAAAAAGACTTTTTTTATTCTCATCGTCTGA